GTTGGAACTCGATCTCTCTTCTGCTTTCCTTTCTTAGCCCTGATTTTAGGCATTGTTTCTGAGCTAGGCCTTGATCTTGTGTTCTTCCAATAATGTGTATTACTTTCTGCCAACTTCCAGAGCAACAGTCTTCTTTCCAATGTTCTTTGAGCATCTTTTTTATGTTTAAGAAAGATGTATTCTGCCCACTAGAAGCAAACACACGTGGAAGACACAGCTGTCTGCAAACCTTTCCTCTTCTGGCCTTTGGCCACAATTCATTTGCCCATAATTTTCTACCTCTGGCTCCCTGGGCTATGCAGACACCTTACCATCCTGCTCTTTTATACTTGAGAGACATTCAGGATACTTTCTGTCTTCTCCCATAAGCGAGTACAGTGTGGCAGTTACTGCAGCCTTCCCCACTTTGCAAACAACCACTATAAAATCTTGGACATCTAGGTTTCTCTGTCTGCCATGTTTGGGTAGAAGGCCAGGCAAAATGTAGAGGACAATAGTTAGAGAAAGAAGAAGACATTAGTGTAGAGTAGAAAAAAGGCAAGGAGAGAGTGCCGGAAATAAGAGATTCATGTGTATTTTTTTTATTTCTGTGAGAAACAAGTTGACACACTTCATTTTCTATTAACAGGACAGTACAGTTTTTTTAAAACTGTAGTCCAGAAACTGTTGTGAATTCTGTACCTGAAGAGAATAATCTTAAATATAATTTCCCAATGTGTCTCATGTCCTATTACCTCATTTATATCATTCATTAGTGTGTATGTAGAACACAGACTGCTTTTATTTTATTTTTTTATTTTTATTTTTGAGTTGGCGCCTCACTCTGTCGCCCAGACTGGAGTGCAGTGGCTGCTCCCGGCCACTGCAGCCTCGACCTGCTGGGCCCCAGTGATCCTTCCACCTCAGCCTTCCAAGTAGCTGGAACTACAGCCACGCGCTACCACACCCGGCTAATTTTTTGATTTATTGTAGAGATGAGGTCTCACCAAGTTGCCCAGGCGAGTCTCAAACCCGCGGGCTCAGGCAATCCATTCACCTCAGCCTCCCAAGGTGCGGGATTACAGGCTGAGCCACCGAGCCTAGCTCACAGACTGCTTTTAAATGCTCAGGTTTTTCTATGTGTTTTTTTCCTTGTCATATTTTTATGAAATTCAACATTGTAAGACATATTGCTTATTTTTCTCTTGATGATGGTTTATTTTGCAGCATCATGAAGTAACTTGACTGATGTGTTTTAGGGGATAATGGAAGAGGAGTCTATAAAAAGACATGATGGTGAGTTGTATTGTGCATCCAAGTCTAAGGAACAGATGTCTGCAGTCAGCCTGACTTGGCCAAGATTGGCTTTGTTGTTTTTCTCCTAGTGAGTGCTTTTCTCACTAACTTCTCTTGTAACTGTGATAAAGTGCATTAGGGCTTAGTTGTTAATTATTTATATGTGGGCTTATCTGGTTTGGGAGAGGAAATGTTACATTTAGTGTGAGGTCTATCTAGTTTGGGGATGCTACAATTCCTTTCCTTGGTGGTAAGATTTAGGGATGCCTTGATCAATTTGTCCAGGGACTTTTCTAGAGCCATTAAGTAGTAGTGTGTGATACAAAATGCCAAGAGCCCACAAGAAGAGAAGCATTAGATGGGACCACCAAAGACAAACATTGCATTTATGGACCAATTTCCCTGTGTCTCTCAATAATACGTCTAGTGCTTATTTCTGAATTTTTTAAGCAATTATGAATGGAAGGGTGATGCTTATATGAGGAGAAATCGGAAAAGGTGAGGCAGTTTACAGATAAGCTTAGGCCTCATGAAATATTTCAAGGTTTCTCTTTTTTTTTTTCCTTTGTGGTCAGCTTTGTACCTCAAACAGCCTGCTTCCATGATATTAGCCTGTGAGACTGACAATGTAAACTAAGTATCTTTAAGCTAGAGCAGTCTCTTTTTCTCTATGTTCCCATGAATATCAAAAGGATCCACAGTTACTATATGTTAGGATGAATGATTTAAGATGGGGAACAGTTTGGTAAGATCAGTTCTGATAGCAATAAAATGTTTACACAGTATAATATTCAGTTCTAGCCGGGCTCCGTATCTCAGCCTGTAATCCCACGCCTTTGGGAGGGTGAGGTGAGTGAATTGCCTGAGCCCACGGGTTCGAGACCAGCCTGGGAAACTTGGTGAGACCTCATCAATACAATAAATCAAAATGAGCCGGATGTGGTAGCACGTGCCTGTAGTTCCAGCTACTCGGAAGGCTGAGGCGGAAGGATCGCCAGAGCCCAGCGGGTCGAGGCTGCAGTGGCCGGGAGCGGCTACTGCACTCCAGTCTGGGCGACAGAGTGAGACTCCAACTCAAAAAAAAAAAAAATTCAGTTCTCACATTCCATTCTATTTAAGACAAATGTGTATTATAATTTGGCCTGTCCTGGTCCTAATCCTTTATAACTATTTTCTTTCCACAGTTTCAGCCATTTAACACTAGGCTATATTCTCAGCATCATCTTAAACTCTGAAATACATCTTCAGTGTAAAAGGAGAAACCTAAAGAGCTTGAGTCCAGTACTCTGTAATTTAGCATGAACTATATGACCTTAGGCCTGAGTTCTTATAGTAAGGATGTTGCTATACTTGTCTTAGAGACCTACCCTGTACATTTTTGACCCATCAGGATGACTGGAACTTGTCTTGGTATAACATATCCAGTCCTTCTACTGCTGAGGTTTGTTGTTGTTTACTGTCTGTATAGTCTCTTTTGGTTTTATTAATGACTGGAATCCCTTAAGCTCCTCCATGGTATATGGGGCCCTACCAGATACTGGTGGATTTGTTAGTATCAACTGCTTATCTCTTGGGTGCTCCAAATATTACTTACTATCCCTATAATTTCCATTCTAGTGTAATAGGTACTTGTGAAGATGGTCTTCTACCTCATGTTGGACTCATTCTCATCTAAAGGCCTACTTTTTGTCAGTTCCTATACTTTCTAGAAACCCTATTATGCCTAAGTCTGCATTTTTGTTGTTGTTGTTTTGAGTTGGATTCTCATTCTGTTGCCCAGGCTGGAGTGCAGTGGCATGCTCATGGCCACTCCAGCATCAACCTGCTGGGCTCCAGCAATCCTTCCACCTCAGTCTTCCAAGTTGCCAGAACTACAGGGTGTAGTACCTACAAGCGTGCAGTAGAGATGAGGTCTCGCCAAGTTGCCTGGGCTGGTCATGGAATATGTTTCAATTTCTAATTTATGAAAGTAGCTTACATCCACTTTTAGCTATCTTCACACTCATTTTAGAGCTGGGTAAACTGAGGATCAGAAAGGTCAGAGTTATTTAATAAAAGAATGAACAAATGGGTAAAAAGACCATTGACTTTATTAACACTTTTGAGACAGTCATATTCCAACCAATTTTAAATTCACAGACATTTACAATTCTGAGAGTTAAACACACATTGTTTAACACATATTGGCTCATATTGAAGCCCACATGAGCCAATGTCGTCACGTTTGCAGTGGCTGGGGCCAGAGATGCAACTTTTCTGGATGCTTCTCAGCCAAGAGGAAGGGCAGAAACCACGTCCCCAAACCGTAATCTGTCTTGTCACCTGGACATGTCCCTCCTAGTTCATTGCTTCTGGGCCTGGGCTTTGTATTCTGTGGTCTGTGCCTCTGGCTGTCACCGCCGCACACTTGGCACGGCCACCCCTTGCTTAGAGGCAATGGCCTTCACTGAGCTACCTGCAGGAGCTGAAAGGGTCAATATCTGTCATGTCCTGTGACTGTTCCTCATTCTTTCAAAAGTGAGAATCTGGCCATTGCTCTCAGGTAAAATACAGGCAGGGTTGTTAGTGTTAGGGACACTCCTTACTTTAAAAAGTAGACCAGTTCCTTAAGTTATGTTGCACAGAAAACATAATAATTTGAGTGAAGGAACTCACTAGTACCTCCCTGAGGGCTTACATGGAAAGTTGTGTATTTTCAGAAATCACAAAGAGTATATGTTTGGGTAAACTGAGGCATTTAGGGCCAGTGACATGGCAATAAAGCAAATAATTGTAAAGGCAAAGTAAAAGTTTATTCACATTTAGAACAGTGTCTAAGTGTGTCCCATGCGGGCAAGAGCAGTGTGGCATCAGTACTTGAGGAAGGAGGCCTTTTAACATTTTAAAAAGGAGACAAGGTAAAAGCATCTCTAGCACCTGCATTCCTAAGTGTCGATAACCCTGGTCTTGTATTCTTGGCATTGTCAAGGCACCAGTCCTGTGACTCCAGGTGGTGGGCTGGTGGGCAGTCAAGAATGGCTGATTACAATAGATTAGGTCAGCTTGGTATTATATAGCTGGATAACAAATACCTAGAACAGAGGTGTAAGCAGTATAAGATATAATTGGGAATTGCAAAACAGTTATCAATTGCTAGCCTCTCAAAGCTGATTCTGTCCTTGGCTAATGATTAGGAAGTGAGGAGTAAAATAAACAGCTAGCAAAATATGACACAGATTAAGCATTGGCAAAATGACTGTTCTTTAAGCTCAGAGGATATATGATTAAAATTAATAAGTAATTTTATAGGTGATGAAACAAGCTCAGAAAAGGAAGAATTCAAACTTAAACTCAACTCTTTCTCTTTGTTTTTGGAGGGTAAAGTATACCTAACATAATATGAACATAAAATGTACAACACAAAGAGTGAACCATGCATAATGTAAACTATGGATTTGGTTAATGATGTGTCAAAGCTGGTTCATGAGGTGTAACAAATAGACCCATGTTGGTGGGGGAGGCTGTTTGAGGTGGAGGAGGAAAAGTAATATGGTAACTGTCCTTTTGGTTTGGATTTTCTGTGACCTTTAACTGTTCTACAAGGGGGTTAAAGCTAGAAGCAAAAAATTGAAGGCCAGATGCCTTCATTAACTGAGCAAATGTGTATTGAGTATTATGCTCAAGGATCAATATCAGGCATGGGCCTACCACAATGCAAAAGATGACTCAGTTCCTCTTGTTTTAAGGCTTTCATGGATGGAGATTTACAGTCATAGAAGAAGAAAAATCATTAAAAGATGAGCAAGAATTTAAAGGGGAATCTAAGTTCGCTCCAATTATCAAGACACCAAAACAGCCTATCTGGAACATTAGTAGGTATTGGAATGCTCTGAAGCAGAAATGGACTGTATGCTAAAGAGAAATTATTCCTATTGTTTAATTTTGCTGTGAAGTCATTGGGGACAAATCAAATTTGAAAAGTAAGTACACAGATATAAAAATCCTCAACAAGATTCTAGCAAGACACATCCAAAAATGCATCTCAAAAATCTTCCACCATGACCAAGTAGACTTCATCCCCAGGATGCAGGGCTGGTTCAACATTCGCAAGACCATAAATGGAATTAAATACATCAACAGATGTAAAAACAAGAACCACATGATCATATCATTAGATGCAGAAAAGCTTTTGATAAAATCCAGCATCCCTTCTGGATAAAAATTCTCAAAAAAAACACCTAGGCAAAGAAGTAATGTACCTCAAAATAGTACGTGCCATTTACGATGAAACCACAGCTAACATATTGCTAAAAGGAAGGAACTGGAAACATTTCCCCAGAAAACTGGAATAAGACAAGGCTTCCCACTCTCACCCCTCTTGTTGGACATTGTGTTGGAAGTCCAAGCTACGGCAATTAGACAAGAGAAAGAAATCAGGGGTATCCAAATAGGAAAAGAGGAAGTCAATTTATCCCTCTTTGGTGATGATGTGATCCTACACATTGAGAATCCAAAAGAATCTGTCAAAAACCTGCTTGCACTGATAAAGGACTTTGGCAGTGTCTCAGAGTACAAAATAAATGTGCAAAAGACAGTTGCATTCTTATACACCAACAACAAGCAGGCAGAGAAACAAATAAGAAGCACAATCGCATTCACTATAGCCACACAAGAAAAGAAATACCTCAGCATCTTCCTAACCAGAGAAGTGAAGGACCTTTACAATGAGAACTACAAAACACACTGCTCAAAGAAATCCAAGGAGACACATACAAATGGAAAAATGTTCCATGCTCATGGATAGGAAGAATTAACATTGTTAGGATGTCCATCCTACCAAATGCAATTTTCAGATTCAACACAATACCCATTAAATTACCAACATCAGTCTTCTCAGACCTGGAAATTACAATACAGAAATTCATATGGAAACATAAACAACCACAAATAGCCAAAACAATCCTTAGCAAAAGAAACAAAGTAGTAGGTATTACACTTTTTCGGCTTCAAACTTTACTATAATGCTACAATAATCAAAACAGCCTGGTATTTGTACAAGAACAGTTATACAGACCAATGAAACAGGATAGAGAATCCGGAAGCAAAGCCTCAATTTCAACCAACTTATCTTTCACAAAACCTCCACAACAACCACTGGGGAGAGGAGAACCTATTCAGTAAGTGGTGCTGGGAAAACTGGCTGATCACATGCAGAAGAATGAAATAAAACCCCTATCTATCACCATGCACAAAAATTAACTCTAAATGAATCAAAGACCTAAACGTGAAACCTCAAGCTATAAGAATCTTAGAAAATGCAGGAGACACCCTTATGGAAATTGGAACAGGCAACCAATTCCTGATCAAACCCCCAAGGGCCTATACCATAAGAAATAAGATAGACAAGTGGGACCTCATCAAGCTTCTGCAAAGCAAAAGAAACCATCAAGAGAGTGGGAAGGCAGCCCACAGAATGGGAAAAAATATTTGCCAACTGTATATCTGACAAAGGTCTAACATCTAGGATCTACAAGGAACTCAAACACGCCCAAAGAAAAAAAGCAAACAGCCCCATTAAAAAGTGGGCAAAAGACATGAATAGGAACTTCTCAAAAGAAGATATACAGGCAGCCAACAGATACATGAAAAAGTGCTCAACCTCACTAATCATTAGAGAAATGCAAATTAAAACCACATTGAGATATCACCTAACCCCAGTAAGAAAGGCCATCATTAGTCAAACAAACAACAGATGCTGGCAAGGATGTGGAGAAAAAGGAATGCTTCTACACTGCTGGTGGGAATGCAAACTAATGTAACCTCTTTGGAAGACAGTGTGGCGATTTCTGAAAGAACTAGAAATTGACCTTCCATATGACCCAACAATCCCCCTATTGGGAATATACCCAGAGGAACTCAAGTCATTCTACCAAAAAGACACCTGCACACACATGTTTGTTGCAGCTCTGTTCACAATCGCAAAAACATGGAACCAACCATACTGCCCATCAAAGCTGGACTGGATTTTTAAAATGTGATATATATACACAATGGAATATTATGCAGTCATAAAGAAGGACAAACATATGGACTTCACAGCAACTCAGATGGAATTAGAGTTTACCACACTTGGTGATCTATCACAGAAACAAGAGCGTACCATATGTTCTCATGCATAAGTGGACCTTGAACAATTATAATACTATAAGAAAGGTATTGGCAGTAGTGGGAAACTGCCAAGAGGAGGGGAGTGGGATTGGCAATGGAGGGAAACTGCCAGGGCAGGGAGGGGCACACCTCATCAACAAGGGTACCTGCATAATGAGCATTTGTATACCTAACCCTGAATTGTACCCCACATCCTTAAAATAAAAGGAAAAAAAGAAGGAAAACAATATATCATCAGGGATCTGCCATTTTAAAATGGGCAAATACTATAAACATGTTTTTAATTTGCTTTTATTCCAACTTTGTAAGAGTAGAAATGTTATCAGAACACATCATAAATTGGTTTTTCCCCTTTACAACATTCGAATAACAAGATCACCAATTTCAAGTCCCAATATAGTGTTTTTTTAAAACACACACCTGGGCCAGGCACAATGGCTCATACCTAAAATCCCAGCACTTTGGGAGGCTGAGGTGAGAGGATTGCTTGAGTCCAGGAGTTTGGACCAACCTGGACACCTAGTGAAACCTCATTTCTACAAAAATTAATTAAAAAATTAGCTGGACCTGGTGGCATGCTACTGTAGTTTCAGCTACTCAGGAGGCTGAGGGAGAAGGATCACCTGAGTCCAGGAGTTAAAGGCTGTGGGGAGCTGTGATTATGCAACTGTACTTCAACCTGGGCAACAGAGTGAGACCCCAACAAAAAAAATCAATAAGTATAAAAACACACACCTCATGGGAGATAAGATTTAAATGGACACTTCTAAATAAGACTATAAGCCGGGCTCGGTGGCTCAGCCTGTAATCTCAGCGCTTTGGGAGGCTGAGGTGAGTAGATTGCCTGAGCCCGGGGGTTCGAGACCCGCCTGGGCAACTTGGCGAGACCTCATCTCTACAATAAGTCAAAAAAAAAAAAATTAGCTGGACATGGTAGCACACGCCTGTAGTTCCAGCTACTTGGAAGGCCGAGGCAGAAGGATCGCCGGAGCCCAGCAGGTCAAGGCTGCAGTGGCCAGGAGCAGCCACTGCACTCCAGTTTGGGTGACAGAGTGAAACTCCAACTCAAAAAAAAAGTGGTGTGGGCAGATTGCACTGGGTTGAGGAGTCAGCAAGGGTTAAGGATGAAGGATACATTTTAAAGAACAGGGTGACTCCATTTCATACAAGGAACAAAGATCTTGAATAACCTGAAATTTGTATAATTAAAGACTGATTTTCTTATAAGAATTGAAAGTAAGGAGGTGTTCAACCATCTAGAGCTATTGTAATTGAAGGGCACACCACAGATGCACTGACCCTCCCACCAGAACACCAACCAGCACTCTGCTTTCTAAGTATTATATGTTGATTTTTTTTTTGGAGTTGGGGTCTCACTCTGTTGCCCAGGCTGGAGGGTAGTGGCACACTCACAGCCACCGCAACCTTGACCAGCTGGGCTCAGGCTATCCTTCCTCCTCAGCCTTCCCAGTAGCTGGAACTACAGGCACGTGCTACCACACCTGGCTAATTTTTGATGTACTGTAGAGATGAGGTCTCACCAAGTTGCCCAGGCTGGTCTCGAACTCCTGAGCTTAGGCAATCCTCTCACATTGGCCTCCCAAAGTTCTGGGATTACAGACTTGAGCGACTGCACCAGCCTAATTTTTTTCTTTACAATAAATCAAAAAAGTAGCCGGGCATGGTAATGCATGCCTGTAATTCCAGCTACTTGGAAGGCTGAGGCAGAAGGATCGCTAGAGCCCAGCAGGTCGAGGCTGCGGTAGCCGGGAGCGGCCACTGCACTCCAGTCTGGGCGACAGAGTGAGAGTAAAAAAAAAAAAAAAAATCTCTTAATTACTTTCTCCATATCTTATATCTAACTTGCATTCCAATATTATTGATTTGGATGTATTTTTTCCCTCCAGTTCTTGTTTTAATAAGATCTTTTAACAAACTTTTAGGTAATATTTTTAGGGTACAGCAGTAGAATAAGTCAGTGCCTCACATCTGTAATCTCTGCTTTGGGAAGTTGAGGCAGGAGAATCACTTGAGCCCAGGAGTCAGACCAGCCTAGGCAACATAGCAAGATCTCATTAATAAAAAAAAAAAAATTGCTGAGCATGGTGGTATATGCCTGTAGTCTCAGCTACTTGGGAGGCTGATGCAAGAGGATCACTTGAGCCCAGGCATTGGAGGCTGCAGTGAGCTGTGATCGTGCCACTGCACTCCAGCCTGGACAACAGAGTAAAACCCTGACTCAAAAGAAAAAAATAGAAATATCAGAAATATCTGATATCACTAAAGTATCAGAATATTCATTTAAAAAATTCACTGTGGTAGGTTTAATAATCCCCTTCTCCATGTCCTAATCCTCAGAACTGTAAAGGTTACCTCACATGGTAAAAAGGACTTAGTAGATGTGATAAATGAAGGATCTTGAGAATAGGAGATCATTCGGGCATATCCTTGTGGACCCAATGAAATCACAAGTGTCCTTTCAGACACAGGCGAAGTAAGAGTCAGGTGGCAGTGTGATGGCAAAACTACAGACTGGGGTGATGCTCTTTGAGGGTAGAGGAAACCAAGGAAGACAGCAGCCACCAGAGAGAGACTTAGATTATAGCAGGGGACAAGACAATCAATATCCAAATCCATAGTGTCAAGTAGTGATAATGTGCTATGAAGGGAAAGGAAAGGGTGATTTGAGAAAGATTAACAGAAGAGACAATTTAGATGTGGATGGAAGGAAGTGACTGGGAAGGTCCCCCAAGAAAGGGAGATCTAGGCCCAGAACTGGGGGATCAGTACAGAGGAGTTAAAAAAAGAGGGGGTTAGGGCAAAGACATTCACTACAGGGAAAACAACTTAGACAAAC